TATATATATATATATATATATATATTAGGGATAAAAGTAACTAAAATAATTTTATTAGAACTAAAGAAACTAAAAAAGATATTTAAAGCTTATAAGCCATACATATAAACGTGTAATAGCATTCATTTATTCTTCTTTTCTATAATGGGTCATGACATATATATTTCCTTCCATTACATTTACAGGAGGCTAGAAATGGAACTTAGAGGTCGTGATGTTGAGCAATGGTTGAGCCATCGCCGCATACCAGAAGATCTAAGAAGGTATGAAATGTTTAATTTCATTCTTTTCACAAATTACGTCCATATTTTCAAAATGGTATCTATCATTTGGTGATTGATTCAAGTAATTGCATGTTAACTGCCCCAACACTTCCTAATCCTTAATTTTCCTGAAAAAGTACAGGAGCAATTTTCTGTCACAATGAGACATAGTTACTGTGTTAGAAACCTAGATAGCTATTACTGTAAAATTATGAAAACTGCCATTAAAGAAGCCATAAGATAGATAAAATAACATTATCAGATTTTTTTATTGATGCTCAATACAATACAAACTTTGCCTTAAATAACAAACCTAATGAATAACAACACTCAATATGCCATCATCTAGTATTTTAGGAAATTAAAATAAAATTAATATTAATAAATAAATAAATATTTTAAGATCATCCTATTTAATTAATAAATATAATATTTCAAGATCATTCTATCATGTGCTTAATTTTCTTTCTTTTTAGTCTTTTTTGGACTCATCTTATCATGTGCTTTTCCACTTTGTGTAGTGTTGTTGTCTGAGTAATAATTTTCAAAGATTGTAATCACAGAATATATGTGGGTTGGTTTCACAATTACCTCTAATTGATTTAATTTAAGCAAAATTAAGAAGATTGAATTTTGTTTGAGATCGATTTAGAAATAAATATTCAATTAAATATTACGAAGATAATTTTAAGAGATAAGATTAATGTTAATTAAGGAAGAAGTTCCCAAGATGGAGGAATAGCACAATGATTTCCTACTTAATTAATTGTCTTGTGTAATATCTTATTTGATTTTCATTAAAGGTGAATTAACTTAAAGTGATTTTTATTCTCTCTCAAAATGTAAAAATGTATCTAATTGAATTAATATTTATTCTTATAGTAGTTATGAATATGATTAATTAATTTTTTTTACGTTATTTGTCAATTTATTAATTTCTCTTGTGATTCAATTTATCAATTTGTCAATTTTGAGTTATTGGTTATAAAATATAATAGAAATACGTCTGAATTCTAAGGATATATATTCTACATCTACATGTCTTCATTGGGTTTGATGTAAGCATGTTATAAGCATATATATTTGATATTTAGGTATTGTGTCACATCACACGTTATTGTGAAAATTGTGTCCGCCATGTAGGAGAGTACGAATGGCTGAAAGGTATAATTGGGCAGCAACAAGGGGTGTGAATGAAGAAATGCTTATGGAGAATTTGCCAGAAGATCTCCAGACAGACATAAGACGTCATCTCTTCAAATTTGTGAAGAAAGTATGCCCTAAATTTTGTGGCTTAAAATGAATAATACAATAATTAAAGAGCTTGTTATGATTAATCATTATGTGATGTAGATGTTTGGCATGACATTTCTTATAAAATTATGTTTTTCTTTAGGTGTTACTCACATGTAAGGCTGTGTCACTTGCTAGAATTGACTAGACTTTGAATATGAAAAATTGAAAACCATGGAGAATAAGCTTTATACACCCACATTCATCGTGAAACAAAAATCGTGACTAATCTAAAGCAAAAAGCATATCAATTAAACCTAAAAGTTTTGTTTTGGTGATTTAATTTTCTAAGGATCTAATTCTAATGTATCTGCAGGTTCGAGTGTTTTCCTTGATGGATGAACCTATCTTAGATGCTATTTGTGATAGACTAAAACCAAAGGCGTACATGAAAGGAAGTAGAATTTTGACTCAAGGTGGGTTTGTAGAGAAGATGGTCTTTGTTGTGCGTGGAAAATTAGAGAGCTTTGGAGCAGATGGAACTAGAGTTACCTTATCTGACGGCGATGTTTGTGGTGAAGAACTTCTGACATGGTATATTGAACGTGTTTCTATAAGCACAGGTATAACAATAATTATTAGTAACACTTTCACTCTTTTTAATATAGTTTTTCTCATTAATTAGAATTTATAAGATAGATTCATTAGATATGATGTCAGACTTATTAAATTTTATAATTTTTAATAAATTTCAACTAATTAAAAAAATATATTAAAAAGTATATGTTCTTAAGTATTTTTCCTTAAAACAATGATAATATGACTGTGGTCGTAAAAGTTACAATAGTAGCAATTTGGACACACTACAAAGTTATGAAGCACATGAGTACTCCAATTGACTTCACCTATATGATATATATTTGATATATTGATATTCTTAGGTATTTTATTGATATGTATCAACAAAGTATCTATATAACAAAAGTTTATCTGATATTAATATTATTTGATATTTCACCAATATTCTTAAACTAATATGTATTGGTGGAACCTTTAATATGTTATGAAAATTCAATACACTTGAATGAGACATATAAATATGTATATATATAAAAAAGAAACAATTTCAAAAAATGGATAAGATGGATAATATTATTTATATTTGTAAATAATATAAAGTAATATAATTTATGATAATGGTGATTATAATTTTTTGTTGTTGTATAAGATATATGTTCTTAATTTGGATTTGAGAAATTATAATTATTTATTTATATGTTTTGTGAATTTTGATCAAAATTATAGACAGATATGCATAGTGAAATGTGAAACATGGTTTATTTTATCTTGCAGATGGTAAAAAAGTAAGGCTTCCAAGACAAAGATTGGTTAGCAATCGGACAGTAAAGTGCTTAACAAATGTGGAGGTTTTTTCTCTGCGTCTTGCAGACCTTGAGGATCTCACAATTCTTTTCGCAGGATCCATGCATAACCCTCGTGTTCAAGGAGCAATGAGGTCGATCTTCCATTCCTTATCCCTCTAGTATTAGGGTTTATCTTTCAATCTAATCTTAACCTTTTATGACATACAGAAATGAATATGAACATGGGATACTCTAGGGATCAATTCCTGTCAGTATTAAATTAAATAATACTTAAACAGTGATACTCATGTGCCGTGAGTGTAAATTAATATTTATTAATTAACTTTAAAACATTGCATAAAGTATTCTCAGGATTGATTCCTATCATTGTTAAAATAATATTTAATTAGTAATAGTCTTATTTTATAAGTACTTATTAATCTTTAATTATCGGTTTTTATATGCGTAGATCATATCTATAAAAAAAAATATATATGAATTTTACTTATATCTTTTTGTGAAGGGTGCTTTCTGCTACTTCCATTATGTTCTTGACTTGTCAACGTTGAGCATATTCAAATTCATCCTTCTTTTATCCTTATGGGGGTGGCCTATTAATTGATACATATATTACATGTATGATATTTATGTCAGCTGATTTGATAATCCTATTATGTTAGGTATGGATCACTTTATTGGAGACCCCTTGTAGCAAAACGAATTCAAGTTGCATGGAGAAACAGGAAGAAGCGTCGTACCTCAGAATCAAATTAAACATTCAAGTCCTGTGATACTTTTGTGTGTAATAAGGTCAACAAAGTTAGAATATAATTAAATCGATTGACGATTTATAACTTTAAAGATTTCATTATTTTATTAATAGTTTTAAGAATCAGTTTAATTGTCATTACAATTTCAGAAACTAAGCTATTCTCTCACAATAAAGCCCATTTTTCTTTGTCACTTCGGCCCAGAGAAAGGACAAGAGTCTAGAGATATGCATTGTGACTTTTTTTAAACTTTATTTCAGTATAGCCTATAGGGCTCACGATTTGGGCTCACGCTGTAATTGCAGATCCAAACATACTATGATCGTTTAATTTTTAAATTTAGATAAAATTGTAGTCCTATAATAATATCTAATCTACAATTTTAATTTCTAAATTTTTAATTTTTAAATTTCAAATTTTAGTATTCTTTTTATAAAATTCATATTTATGATATCTAATATTTAAAATTATATCATTGATTGATATTAAATAGATAAGAAAAATAATTAATATTTAATAATACTAATCTTTCAAAAATAAATATTTAATAATATTGAGAATAAAATATATTTTTATAATCATTTTATTTCATTTTTATCTTATTTTACAAGATTTATCAGTCAAAATAAGAGATTAAAAATGTAATTTAACATAATATTATCAAATATTAATTATCACATTATATATTTAATACTGAATCATGTATAATCAAAGTTACAATTTTAATGGTCAAATTATCATTTTGTTCTAAAGTAAATTATCAAATTAGTCCCTAAAATTCTACACCACGCTCAATTTAGTTTCTCAGTCTAATGAAACTCAAAAAAATTTCCAAAATGTAATTTATCACTTATTTAAGTCATTCTGTTAAATAAACTTCATTTTTTTAAAATAAAAGTGTCTAATGTCATGTGATATACACGTGGTATTTATGTGGAGTGACATATGCTATGTGAGTATGCCACATGGTGTATATGTTCTACAGGATATACGATTATAATACAATATAATTTTAATACATGAATTGTAACATTGTGTCACTTTAGTCCCGCAAATTATATTTCAATGTCATTTTAGTTTCTAAAATTTTAATTTGATGTCACTTTAGTCCTCAAATGATATCATATATTTATTTTAATTGAGTAATTGTGACTTGAATATTTTTACAATAAAAATAGATAATTAAATTAATATTGTTAATAGAATGATATATATATATATATATATATATATATATATATATATATTCAAATCATATTAAAAGTTTGGTATTTAACATTGTATATGATCAACTATATTACTCAATAATACTTTTAGAAACTTTTCTTCGATAAGAGAGTTTTTAGGAATTCTTTTAATTTTAAATTTAATTTAGTTTTTATTTATCATAAATATTTATAAATTAAATAATAATATTTTAATTAATCTTGTACTACAATATAAATTATTTATCATAAATCTAAAATATAGTTTATATATTTAAAAATAATTTTTTTATTCAAATTTTGTATATAATTTATATGTTCAAACATAATATCTACTTATATGCATAATTTATTTTAAAATTTAGTTATATATGATAAATATTTAACATGTGCATTACACATTAAAATACTAGATTTTTTTTAATTTTAAATATGCTATATCTCTTTTTATAATGGTCAAATTTCCCTCCTCTATTAATCTATTTTATTTTTTAAAATACATAAATGAAAATAATTTTCTAAATTTTTTATATTTATATTTTATTTTCATAATTAATTCTCTTACATAAATTATTTTTTTTATTGTAAAAAATATCTAGTACTTCCATTGTCCAAAAGTTACATTTTTTATGTCTTTGATAGCTTTTTTAATTTTTATTTTTTAATTATATATTATAAATTTTTTTATTTATGTATTATAAAATATATGAATAAAAAGAATAAATTTTTGACAATTGAATGATGAATATATTTATCATTATATTTACAATATTAACTTAATTATTTTATTTATTTTATAAATATTCTAGTCATAATTACTTAATAATGTTTTGGAGATTATAGTTTTAGAAATTAAAAAGGATAGGCTTATGTCATGTGGTATATATATATCACGTGACGTCCCAACGTGTTACTCCACATATGTACCACATGTATGTTACATAAGACTGTAGTGTTATGTATATACTTTTGTTAAAAAAATAGAAAAGAGTTTATTTAATTGAATGATTTAAATAAGTGACACATTATATTTTTGAAAACTTTCTTTTTTGAGTTTATTAGAATCAAGGCCTAAATTGAGAGTGATATATAATTTTAGAGACTAATTTGACCATTTAATCTTTTATTCTATTTCCATGTTATTTTACCAAACTTATGGAGTAAAAATGAGAATAAAAAAAAATACAATTTGGCCTAAGTATTTTCAAATATTAATTATAACATCATTTACTTAAATGTCACATTATCATAATAAATGTACCAATTTTAATACCCACAAATAAATATTTAATTGGTAGACCAAACTTACAAATTTTATAAAACTAGTAAATAAAATAGCAAAAATAAGAATTGAAAATTGAAAATTGTAAATGAGTTTTATGAGTCCAATCGTTATTTTTTCTTTTGTTAGAGTTTAAGTGTGAAGTGAAGTCCCACATTGGTTAGAGTTTGACATGTTGAGTAATATATAAGTGAGAAAGACCCACCAACCTATTGCCTTAAAGTTTTAGGATATGTTGTGGTGTCAAACTTACTTGTGTGACTTACTCACTACCCATTGTATGTGAAGTACTCTCCGATGTTAAAAACTCCCTAACTCTGGTATCAGAGTCGATGATTGATTGGTGATCGACTCATACGAGTATTGGCTGAATCTGAGAATTGGATCTTAAATGGAATTGGCTTGAGATTCAAGAGTAGGATCATCCCTTGTACTGAAATTCTCCCTTGTAGTTGTACTGAAATTCTCCCTTGTAGGATCATCCCTTGAGGGGGAGCGTGAGTGCGTGACCATGTGGAACGGATTCACACTTGAGGGGGAGTGTTGGAGTTCAAGTGTGAAGTGAAGTCCCACATTAGTTAGAGTTTGACATGAGTAATATATAAGTGAGAAAGACCCACCTACCTATTGCAATGTGTTTGGATGAGAAATTTTACAAATTCAAGGAATTTTAAATTCTTAGTACTTAAATTACTTTGATTTCAATTTCTATCATTCTTAAAATATTTTGTTTGGATAAGTCAATTCAAATTTATCAAATTTTAAATTGTTAGGTTGGATATGATAATTTGATTCCACCATGATAAAATTGATTTTAAAAATATATTTATATGTTAAGATTTTTAAATTAAATTTTTAAAAAATAAATATTAGCTAATTTTTAAATATTTAATAATTTAAAAAATTAATATTATATAATATTTAATAATTTTAAATATATTTTTAAATATTCAATAATTAAAAATATTAAGAGATAAGAGATAAGATAAAATATATAAGTGGAATAAGAAGAAAAAAGTATGAGGAATTTCAAATTCTTACTCTTTTGAAAGAATTTGAAATTCTACTATTTCAAGGAATTTTACAAATGTTTGAATTTCAAATTCTTTATAAATTTCTCATCTAAACAAGGTATTTCACCTTAAAAAATTTGAAATTCTTCAAATAAATGAATTTTTCCATTTAAATTCTTCAAAGATATATTATGATGTCAAATTTACTTGTGTGACTTATTCACTAACCATTGTATGTGAAGTGCTGATGTTAAAAACTCCCCCCAACAGTTTTTTTAATTTGAAAGAACTGTACAAAAGTAGATATTAATCAAACTTTTTAGCACTAAGCCGAATGAGGCCAATCGTACATACACACTGCCCTCATGTCGCAGCTGAATGAACCAAACATGTCTACACTTTCTTTAGAATCATGGTTCATGCCTCTACTTCTAAAATTACACCTCTTTGCATAAATGGTGCAAAATTATAACAACAAAAAGGGAAAAACCACACCATCACCACCACTTCTTTTATCCTATTACAAAATTTAATAATAATGGTTCTGTTAATTGCTACTGGAAGTATATTATACGTGTTCTTTTTTAATTGCCAAAAAAAAAATATTATAAATGTTCTTTTGGTTGCAGCTTCCAATTGTCGAACTGTCATTTGATCAACTCGAAGATTGAGGTGAGGGGGAATTTTTTTTTTTATTTAAATTTTTAGAATGCGATCAATCAATAGAATAAACTTGTGCACCAAAAAATAGAATAAACTTGTGTAAACTTTTTGAAGAAAAAAAATAAAACCTTGTTTAAGTATGATTGTACCATTATTCGTACAACATAAAAGTGATGATCTTATACCAATGTAATGTAGCATGTGTTTGACCAGTTTTATTCTTTATTTTATTTTTAGTTTTATTTTTTACGTCACTGGCCCAACACATTGAATTAAGAAGTGACGATGACGCATTGAATTAAGATATTGTTATCACTTTGCAGGCCTGCCAACGACCACCCAGTATGGATATGTTCTTCTTTATATACTAAAACTACATAATTTAATATTAAAAATTAAAATCACGGAATTTCAAACATAAATTCTTATTTTTTTAACCCCATATACATATATATTTGGTAATAATCACTTTATATACCAACTAATTTTATGAATGAATCAAAACCTTGCTTTCAAATATAGAAGGAATATTGTTACTAATATTTTTTGTTAAATTATACTATATATATTTTTTCATTTTAAAATAAAAAAACACTAAATAATTACAGATTTTTTTATCATCATATTACAAGTCTCTTCTGTCTACTGACCAAAAACTATAATCATATTTCTGATACTACCGTCACCAAATAATTAGAGATGATTTTCAAGAACAACTTTATTGTATTTTAGTAACTTGAAATAAAAAGGTTGCTTAAAATATGAACATACAAAACTATTAAGTTTTATGTGCATGTATTCGTCTGTTCAAAGTAAAACATACGACGTTCACTGACAATTTCAATTATCTCACAATTGACTTAGTAAAAGACTAAAAGTCTTCGTCTTCACAACTCTCTCTCTCTCTCTCTCTTTCTCTCTCACATCTTTGATATTTATATGTACACTTTCACACTTCATTTTTTGTTTTATCTACTTAACACAATTTGTGTCTATCAGAAACTCCTTTCTACTTTCCTGTGATCACCAAGCTCCAAGAAATGCATTCTTCAACTTGAATAGTTGGTGGGGTTTTCACTGGGAATTCAATTCCTCTTCATCCACCTCTTGCACTTTCTGGGTTTGTTTCCTCTCTTGCTTTTTCTTCGTTATATTTCATTGAATATGGCACTATTTTTTTGGTAACTTGGGCTCATTAGTCATTACATTATACTGGAAATTTTCAACTGATTCCTAATCCCAGTTGCAATCCCTCTCAGGTCATAAGTTGTAGTGCTTCATAATGTCGTATAATTTGGTGTGCATGTGTTAAATTTCAAGTTTGAACAAAAACACTGATGAGTGTGTAGGAAGGAACATTGTCCTGAAGGGCATAGATGTGTTTGTAAACTGTTAACTCTTCCATTAAAACTAGGATGGTAACATGAATTTCAATAATTTTGTGTTGCTGGTTTAGGTCGATGGTCGTGTAATTGGTTTCTTCCTTTAAGATAAGGGGATTCGTTAGTTCTCTCTTAAGGGTATAGTTGGGAAATTTTCTCTAGGATCACTTCTAAGAGAGAAAAATAGAAAGGAAAAATGATACAGGTTTCTCCATTTGCTAAAAGTAGCTTATCTATAAGCTAATTTATAGAAGTTCACTCCTACTAACTCTCCAAAATCTTATTTTTAACTTATGTATGAGCTAGTTTTTGTTTATGAAGAAGCTTATTTCGATTTCTTTTATACTTTAACTTGTTACTTTTTGTGTTATTTGAACATTTCAAATTTAAAGACAAATATATCATTCTATAATTACTGTAAGGTACTTTAAGAAAAAGGATCTTCCTTAAGACGACACATAACGTTCCATTTGACTTTGTCAAAATATAGTCTTTGGCTTTTCATTCATTTTTTTTTTAGTTTATGCTTTCCCTTTCATGTTTCCAGCTAAATTGGATTGTTTTGCTTTAAAATTGTTGATATGGTGCAGAAATGTATACATTGATGTTTTGCTAGTTTCATAAAAATTGGAGAATCATCAAGGAAACATGGCTCATTTTGAAAAAGATGAGGAGCCAATGCTGTCAGAAACACGAGCTCAACTATCTGATGAAGTCGTGGGTTCTAATTTCCGGAGGCTTGTATCTAGGACACGAAGTGCTTCAATATCTATTCCTATGGCCACCTTAGAATCATATGAGAAAGAAACTAGTCTTGTGGGACATACTGGTCCACTTCGAAATGTTAGAAAAACTCCCTTTGTGCAGATGAGTGGTCCACTGTATGCTGCCCATGGAACTGGAAATCTTCCGCGACAGAGTATAGTTGCCGCAGGAAACAAAGCAGTGGAGAGCAAGACAGAAAATTTTTCTAATTTTGATGGCACAAACGAAAACCGTTGGGATAATGACTATGATAGAAAGAATGAGCACTTAATGAGGTCTGGGCAACTGGGAATGTGTAATGATCCTTATTGCACTACTTGTCCTACTTATTTCAAGGCTTCTTCTCAGACAAATACTCGAAAAACTTCAACTTTATTTGATCACAAGGTGCTTTTCTTCCTAAAATATTCTATGAATAGTTCTCTGTTTCAATTGCTATTCACTTAGATCTATATTCACGATAAAAGATTGTGGATGTAGTGTCCTAAGACCCTATTTAAATTGAAGGTTCTAAAGTTTTCCTGCTATGTAATTTTGGTCTATCAGAAGTAGCTGCTTCTGTAGAAAATTCAGATTGTATAAATTTTTTTAGAAGTATACAATATTCAATGTGCAGAGTGGAAATTAATTCATAAAATTTTAAACAATATTCAATCCACATTTAGTTTATCGCATTGTTTAGGTACATTACAATAGATCATTTTCTTAACCCTCACAATTTCCTTAATATCATACTCTTAAAAAAAAACCTGTATTCAAGATGCACTATTTATATTGTTCTTTTTGTTGATATAAGTGTCCACTTTTAATTATTGTCAATAGACAATTTCAAGCTGTTTCCTTATTTATGCAACACTTAACATTCTGAAGGCAACTATTCAAACTTTTCTGTATCCTTATACTTGATCTTCTTGTGACCTTCTCCATTTCTTTTTGTAGACATTTTTCTGCTGTCACTTTCACATAACCAACCACCTTTGTTTATGTTTTGAATGTTTGCAGTTCCATAATAATCTTTATGGGGATGCCAAGGGCTTTGGAAGAAAACTTTTTTCCTTTTGTTCTTCATATGTTCCTGGAGTTATGAATCCCCACGCAAAAGTTGTACAACGATGGAATAAGATTTTGGCCATTTTTTGCTTGGTGGCAATTTTTGTGGATCCATTATTTTTCTTCTTAATATATGTGAAGAAGGTGCGCTTCTTTTCCTTTTATTTAATTAAATCTTCCAAGGTGTAGAAACTAGCCTTTTCCAGATACTATTCTTGCAATTTTACATTTTTACCATTCATTATCTGCAGGATGGTAAATGTATTGCTATCAATTGGACAATGACAACGACACTTGTTTCACTTAGAAGCATTAATGATTTGATATATTTCTTTAACATTCTTCTCCAGGTAATTTCTCAGTAATTACCCTTTTAAAAAGTCCCCCATTCTCTTATGTTTAAATGTTTAATTTATGCTTAGCTGCGTATTAATATAATGTTGTTAGCTTGACTTATATGATTAAGATCGTTCCTTATCAGCAAGTTTTATTTTTAACTTTTCTGGTTTTCAGAAGGTAAATATACTGACAAATGTATTTCAAAAGAATTTCTAGCAACAGAAAAACTGGGTTTAGGTTTGATGTTGCATCATACATCAATATTCACTAGAGGAATAATAGATAGGGAGTGCAAGAAACATGTATCTGGTAGAAGTAGAGTAAATCTAGAAAACTTCGTGAGGAAACAAAGATATAAATGAGCATGTGGCGGTGTCATGGATAAAGATTGATATGTGTAGAGACAGCATAAGGTATCAATAAAAAGCCTCTTATAGATCTCTTCCATGTAGCATTTAGTGGTTCAGCATCATAAAGTAGTGCAGTTCTTCTTGAAGTAGCAGCTAACGAGTTCACTCTGGAGCTACAATGCATGACATTGCAGATGAGACTTCCTCTAATTTCCTAACATTTCCATGTTAATATGCACACCAATGAGCGTAATTATATCAAAACCAGAAAAAGTTAAACAAGAATTCCATGTTGTATACATTTGGAAACTGAAGGTGGCATACTTACTCTCAGCTGGTGGTGGAGTACAAAGTACCAAATATATTTATTACAATCATGGTTGTCAATCTCTAGTGACAACTCGTAAACTCGTACGAGTTTACGAGTTTACAAGAGCTTACCTGTACAACTCGGAGGTAAACTCGTTTTTTAGTGAACTCGGAGCAATCTCGGTGAACTCGGGTAAACTCGTGTAAACTCGCGAGACTACCTCCGATATTAAGAGATCACCATTTTTTTTCAATCCTCCGTGCGCCTCACCTCCTCTGCGCGACTCCTCCGCGCGCCTCACCTCCTTCGTACGACACCTCCGCGCATCTTCTCTCCTCTCCGTGCGACACCTCCGCGAGTCTCCTCTCCCCTACGCGCGACTCCACCTTGAGCGCAACACCTGGTCCGCGCGACTCCACTGCGAGCGGAACACCTGGTCTGCGCGAGTTGAGCGAAGACAAGAGATCAGACATGTCGATCCTCGATTCTAGAACCTTCTTCAGCTTTCGTGACAGACCGGAACACCTGGTCTGCGCGAGTTGAGCGAAGACAAGAGATCAGACATGTCGATCCTCGATTCTAGAACCTTCTTCAGCTTCCGTGACAGACCCGGTGCTAGACCCGCCACCGTCGTTCCCATTCTCTTCTCTTCTTCTTCTCCGATCTCTATTTAGATGTTTGATCTAACTAGCTTCTAACTTCTTCGATTCTTGCAATTTTGTTCGTTAAACCCGGTTCAGGATGCACACCGGTCGTGTCTCGTTGGATCAGGTTTGATGGGCTAGTTTTGTATATTGGCCCCGAATTTAAGTGGGCTCATCAATGCTGTTTACACGGCCCATAATTTTTGCACTTTCACCCCTATTTTTTTCATACAGAAATATCCTTAATCTAAAAAAGTTTTCAACGTGTATTTATATTTATATTAATTACTAATATATCACATAGACAATTGACATAACATATTAATAATTGATGTAACACATTAATTATTATGTTATTTTTATTTATTTATTTATTTATTTATTTATTATTGAGTAATCTCTTACGAGTTTACGATACGAGTTTACGGAGCCTCCACGAGATTACGTAAACTCTCGAGATTGACAACCTTGATTACAATTGTATTAATTATTCGTTTTGGCGGAAGTCGGGACAAGATGTAGGTTATTTAGATATTAAGTTTCAATTATTGATTGTTTCTACATCATAAAAGTCGACTCAAACGAAATTCATTCCATTCAAGATATAAAATTTCACTATCCCATTCTGAAAAGTATGCCTGAATCTCATTTGAGTTCCGCATCAAAATTTCACTCGACCACTTCATTGCAACAATCGTTCTGTATAATCTATCAGTAGGAGTTTTTTTTGTCACTTATGAATGATTAAGTGATTCGGATGCTATGGAATGCTGGACTTCAACCTTATTGATAATATACTGATGTATCTCTGTGTGTATGTCTTACTTTTTTTAATTAGTTGAGGTCAAAAGGAAAAGAAAAGTTCATATATCTTGAATCCTAAATAAGTTTCTTTAGAGGTTTCAAGTCTGGTTTGCCGCCTTTTCATAATTTATTGCTTAAATAACTACTAAATTGCTTCTTTACAGTTTAGGTTGGCCTATGTTTCTCTAGAGTCAATGGTGGTGGGTGCTGGAGATTTAGTTGACCATCCAAAGAAAATTGCCATTAATTATCTGAAGGGTTATTTTTTTATGGACTTATTTGTTGTATTTCCTCTTCCCCAGGTAAATTTCTTCCCATCTCCCTTTCTTTCTCAGTGGAAATTTGCTTAATATCTTTGGCTGTGTTTGCTCATTGTATTGTAACTTAGTATTTTGGGTATTCACTTTTATGTACTACAAAGGGTAAAGTTTATGATGTCAATTGTGAGGTACATCCGCCTTACAATTAATTGAACATGAATGTTATCAATATTTTTTCTCCATTTTCTGGAGGTAATTGACTTGACAAAATAAAAGAATCAAGTTATGTTATGTGATTTCTAATCGGTTGAATTTTGAGTGGTTTTGTATCTTTGATTTATAAGAAAACGTGAAGGTCTTTCTCTTGTAGTATAGAAATGCAAAAGGCCCACTTATTTTGTATTAAAATTGAAATTAATTAAGAAAAAAAGAGCACTGGGGATCTATCTTTTACAATTAGTCATAAAGGCTATGATACCTTGTTAACTGCCAATTATCAAGTTGCTAGTTACTGGATAGAAATGGTTTTGATAACAGAGTAATGCTTAAGACCTGTGAAGGTGTTTGTTGTAATGGACCACAATGATTCTTTTATTGAGTTCTTCTAATGAATAAATAGTCTGTGGACAATGGACATGAACAGCAGGGGAAGCAAAAGGGTTTTCATTATTTGCAAAAGACTAATGGTCTGTTATGTACTCTTCAAATTCTATGTCATGACATTATAGCAAAATATTTGCAGATAATGATATTATTTGTCCTACCAAAGTCTCTGGGATCATCAGGAGCAAATTATGCTAAAAATCTTCTGCGTGCAGCTATCCTTGTGCAGTATTTCCCCAGATTATTCAGGTTTCTGCCTCTGCTAATTGGCCAGTCTCCAACAGGATTCATATTTGAGTCAGCCTGGGCAAATTTCATTATTAATCTTCTCATTTTTATGCTATCTGGCCATGTTGTTGGTTCTTGCTGGTACCTCTTTGGTTTACAGGTGACTGAAAATGATATTGAAGCTTCATTTTTATAAAATGCAATTCTTCCTCACTAGATTTCATAATTTGCTTTGAATTCTCATGTTGCATGAAAAATGAGGAAAGGTACCCTGCACAGAACAAAAGGAATAGGCAGAAGAAATATTATTTGATTCACTTGAATGCTTTTATTTTTAAAGTGGTTGTATATAGTATCATAAGAGGAATGCCAGTGGCACTCTAACACTCGAACAATTTATATGTTATTAGCTTAAATTTATTGGAAATCACGAATTTTGGTAGGTGACAAGTCTTATTAATTGAGTCTCTTCTCTGTCTTGAATTATTGGTGGGACTTACCACTTACCAAAATTTGTGATTTCAAATAAATTTTGGTCAATAGCAAATAAATTGTTGGAGAGAAAGAGTCGCTAGCATTCCTAATATCATAACATTAACGTATAACTAGAATTATAAGCAAAATAAAGTATGATAGTAGTATGTTCTCAGAAATTTAATGCTTCTAATTCTTTTGTAAAATTGATCACAAATTTCATCTGTCAGAATTCAGAATTGTTATGTTTCCCTGGATGCTTTAAAAGATGACCTGTTCAATTAGAATCAGGAATTTGATTCTGTACATAATGGGTAATGTTAATTTATTAACTTTCTCCTTTCCATCCTCTTCCTATTTCTAGAGGGTTAATCAATGCTTGCGAAATGCCTGCCGTGATTCTAATATTACTGGATGCTCAACATTCATTGATTGTGGCGGTGCATCTGGCCATAAGTTAGATCAGTGGAACAGTTATGCAAATGCCACTGCTTGTCTGGATTCCAGTTCCGGTGTTTTTCAATATGGGATCTATAACAAAGCTGTAGCACTTACTATGGAAACTAGGGTGGTCAACAAATATGTATATGCACTGTTTTGGGGCTTCCAGGTATGTATTTCATTCTTCTCTTCTTTTATTCCTAAAGTAGTAATTATATACATCTATGAAGATTCAAAAAAGCTTAATCAAATGCATGCATATATATAGGGAGCACATATCTAGTCAGAGCATGGGATGAACGAATATTGACCATTCAATCTTACATAGATGGTTGAGATTAATTCCTCTAATCTGTGACACTCACCTGATATCTATCTGTGTGTGTTAAGATTTATATTAGTCTTATTTAAGCCACAAAATGATAATCTTATTTAATGTACAAAATTCTTTCCTCATCCAAATCTCTCTTTGCTGATCCCTCTCTAAAGTCCACCATTGGTAACCCTTTTGGGATTGAAGTGTTGACAAAGCCCATACCCACTTTATGTTGTGCTGGAATTATAGTAGCAATATTATTTGGTTCAAAAGTGTTTGTATTCAAGTTGTTACCAATGCCTCACAAATCACAAGTCACAACCAATCATGATTGAAGAGAAAAAAATAAGTTTGAAAAGTAAACTGGTAACTAACAAAATGCAATGAACTTTTTTCACCTTATCTATATATAAGTAGTTTAAATTTAAAACACATTCATACCATGTAGTATCCTTAAAAAAATGGTAGAGCATGTGGTCATATATGCTCTAATATCATATCAAGGCCCTACTTTGTTCGACTAGCACTAAAAGGCACAGGTTTGATATCCCTTAACAATTATACCCTTGTTGTCTTTGATACAGCAAATCAGTACTCTGGCTGGTAATCAAACCCCAAGCTATTTTGTTTGGGAAGTACTTTTCACAATGGCCATCATAGGATTGGGACTCTTGCTTTTTGCACTTCTCATTGGAAACATACAGAACTTTCTTCAGGCCCTTGGACGCAGGTTGAACTTTTTGCTTTTTACATGCCCCTTGATTGTTGATGAAAATCTTGCTCTAAATGGATGTTTGTTTGTAAATGGATATAAGCCCTTGTTTCTTCAAAATAGCTATTTCTCATAAAATCAACTTCTCTTTATCGTCCTTTCATTTGAAAATTGAAAAATAGTGCAGACAGATGAATGGTAGCCATCTTTAAAGTGTAACTCTATCAAACAATAATTTTTAATTTCCCTTGCATCAGCATGGCTCTTATGTTTGACTACACCTTACATGTGACTCATATCATTATTTTGGACTGAGATACTTGCGTTATTGTTGAGATTTCCGTTGAAGTGCTTTTGTTAATATTTGTAAATTCGTTTAATTCTATCAACGGTCTCAAACACGGCAAGTATACCGGCCGTTCAAGTAGTAAAAATATCGTATCCACAGGGATTAGAAGGTAATATAAGCATTTATTGACTATTCGTGACTAAAGAATAATTCCAATTTCATAGTTTGTGCAGTGAATTCAAAGTTGTGACTATTGGAATGAAAGCTGTAAATAAATATTGTTTTGTGAGTGGAAAAGGTAAGGAATGGTATTGTGGTATTGTGAGGTTGTGGGGGTCAGATTTCACCAAACGTAACACTAATGTATCCTTAATCTCTTGTTGAATTCATTGCTTAGTCAACCCATAAGTTTACTCAAACCTAATCCCTTAGAGAAAGAGCCTAGGTGCGGATATTGAATATCAATCCCTTGAGTACCCAATATCTACACCCGCATTACGGGCTAGGGTTTAAGACTACTAATGGGTCAAGCTCTATCCCTAGATACAATCACCACTAGGCATATGTTTCAGAACTAGTTTCAAAGGTTATTTTCCAATACCCATGGAACCTTAAATCATGCAAAGGGTGATCAATCCAAAGCAAGCATTAAGAATAGAAACAAACACAACAAAGAATAAAACAACATGTATATATATCATTAAAACCGTAAGGATTACAATAGAGTATGTTGGTTACATCTAACCCCACAAAATGGGTGAAACCACTCAACAAAGAGGGCAAATACAAAATAGAGATGGAAGAGGAAGTGAAGAACCGAAGGAAAGATCCGCACACGGACGATCCCAAGCCCTGGGAATCCCTTCCGCAGCTCCTGGAGGCGCCCAATGTGAGAATGGGGGTTTCTCCCCCGAAAATGGCTTCAAATACGAGCTTGGGGAGTCAGATTAGGGTTTCGCGCCCGGCGCATAAGTCTTCGCGCCCGGCGCGGGGCCTTCCAGATACTCTCTGCCTTAGGACAAGCCCGGCGCAATTCACATTACGCCCGGCGCAATGGCTCCCAGAGGTGAGATACTCTGTTTTGCTCGCCTGGCGCGGATCACCTTGCGCCCGGCGCAGAACCTCTTCTCTGCTCCTTAGCTTCTTAGATTTCCAATCCTAAGAGTCTTCAACTTTCCACTCTTCCTCAATACCTGCACAAAAAATGAGGTGGATTAAGGTATTGTTAGATGAATTTGGGTTAGTTATATCTGCACACAAAATGAACCAAAAAGAGAACAATTATATTGCAATGGTTCAAAGGATGAGTGGAATTTGTTCAATAAGTCTCATCCAAAAAGAGGTAAAATTGAGACTTAACAGTTATACTAGGAAGAAGTCCTCCTTAAATATTATATTTTGTTAATGCTGTTGTCAGTATCCATATATTTCTTTATGTAGATTGGAATAAATCCCATAATTAAGAGATTAGCTTAGCTGTCTTATTTTATTTGAAAAATAGGAATACTTGAGCAATAACTATAGGAATCTACAGCGGGCAGTAGTTTTGAAGTTTTCATTTCTTGATTATTTTGCATTTTATATAAGAGCAAATGCTCTTTTATTGAAATTATCATTGCTGTGAGTTTTAGTTGAACTATGATAATGAAGCTGTAATGTGTTTAGGGTTGTTAAATAGCATATTTTCCGCATGGTTATATTAAAATGAGCACTCGTCAATATTTGAAAGATAGCCATTACTGTAATTAGAATTAGATTTGCATTTTTTTGACATATTCCCTTTGTACTCTCATATGTAATTATATATAATATAATATAAAATAATATAATACCAAGTGTGTTCGTATGAGACACACAAGATTCAGATTTCCTTCTTTTAAGGGTCATAATGTGCTTGATATATTTTTTTTCCATCACACTTATAGGAGGCTAGAGATGCAACTTAGAGGTCGTGATGTTGAGCAATGGATGAGCCATCGTCGCTTACCTGAAGAACTAAGAAGGTATGAGATGTTCCCATACTTCTCTCTAATCACTTCCACAAAAGTATCTATCTATTGGTTGATTCAAGTCATTTAACTCATCACAATTTACTGCTAAAATGAGACAGTTACTGTTTTACACATTGAGTAGGAACTTTTTGAAGACTAATTTCAATTTAAAGAAAGACAAGATAATTTGAAATCTCATGGTGATATAGACAATGTATATGTTTGAAACTATTGATTATTATAATGAGCATATAGGTCTCGATTTTAAGAAAATAGTATGTCTACTATTTTTCATTTTTATTTAGGTTCTATGTCACATGTTATGGATCACACGTAATGTAAAACTGATATATACATGTCTGCCATGCAGGAGAGTAAGACAGGCTGAACGGTATAATTGGGCAGCAACAAGGGGGGTGAATGAAGAAATGCTTCTGGAGAATTTGCCAGAAGATCTCCAGACAGAAATAAGACGTCATCTCTTCAAATTTGTTACGAAAGTATGTCCTAAGAAAATTTGTGGCATAAATGACTAATGATAATTAAAAAAATTGTTATGATTAATCATTGTATCAAATTTAGTTTTCAGATGTTAGGTGAACTCCAAAACCTCAGCCATGGTGTTTCTGGCAAAATTTCTGTGGGCCTTTAATAACCTGCTAGAATTAACTAGACGTTGAATGTGAAATATTGAAAACTATTTTGAAGACAAAGCTTTATGTATATTGATCAGGAAACTAAAACTGTGATTTATCAAAAGCCAAAGCATACCAAAAAACCTGTGTTTTGTTGTGACAATTTAATTTTCTGAGGTTCTAAAAATCTGCAGGTTCGAATCTTTGCCCTGATGGATGAGCCTATCTTAGATGCCATTTGTGAGAGACTAAAACAGAAGACATACATCAAAGGAAGTAAAATTTTGAGTCACGGTGGCCTTATAGAGAAGATGGTCTTCGTTGTGCGTGGGGAGTTGGAGAGCGTTGGAGAAGATGGAACTATAGTTCCCTTATCTGAAGGCAATGCTTGTGGTGAAGAACTTCTGACATGGTATCTTGAGCATTCTTCTGTAAGCACAGGTATAGCAACACTTGATACAATGATAACATGGCTTTTATCAGCAGAAGTTGCAGTTATCAGCAACATGTCCTCACTACAAAAGGAGAAAAAACACGTCTTTACCAATGTGTTTTCTGACTCTTGCAGATGGTAAAAAAGTAAGGATTCAAGGGCAGAGGTTGCTGAGCAACAGGAGTGTAAGATGCATAACAAACGTGGAAGCATTTTCACTCCGCGCTGCAGACCTCGAGGAACTCACAATTCTTTTCACAAGATTCTTGCGGAACCCTCACGTTCAAGGAATACTAAGGTACTTCATTCCACTCATTCTATTTTGGTTTATGTTTCAACTTAATCTTGACCCTCTTATGACATAGAAAAATGAATATCAACTGTATGTTTTTTCATGAAGATGTATTTTGACTGTTCCATTTTGTTCTTGACTCGTCACATATCGACTAATGATATGGTCAAAATAGAATATTTAAGTTAAATAACAATTCTCATCTTATAAACCGGTCTTATAAAATTGTCTTATAAAATTGAGTGAAGTTCAAATTCACATTTTTAAAATAGTACGTATAAGAGTCTATGGTAACATTTGTTTGAGTCTATTGGACATATTGGTCCTCGTGTGAGAAGCTTGTTGGAAATCTCACATTGATCAGTAGTATAATCAAAATAAAGTATATAAGTAGGGGATCTTACCATACAAAGCTAGTTTTAGAGAATTGAGTTAAGCCTAAAAATGTTGACCACTTGACCTTGATCTGCATGTTAATGTATGGTTTTTATGTCTGCTATCTGTTTTCAAAACCATGGCTATGCCAGAATGATTTGATAATTGTACTATGTTAGGTACGAATCACCTTATTGGAGATCCCTTGCAGCAAGCCGCATCCAGGTTGCATGGAGATACAGGAAGAAGCGTCTAAGTCGAGCTTATACCTCGCAATCGGACCAAACATGGACGTCCTAGGTTGTACCGTAATATCTTATGAGCTACACTTTGTCATAGGTTGTGTGGCTACAAAAATTTCTTCAATAGATTCACCTATCACCATTTACAAATGTTTCTTCTAGAATTAAATAGCGTTTAATAAATTAAACATGTATTGTCAGTGTAAATTAATCAAAAATGGCCTTTTTGTATTATTTTTAAGGTAATTATTATTCAAATCAATAAATTTATTATACATCATGGTTTGTAATTAGATGGCAATATAAGAATCTTACCCTACTAATACATATATTATTTATTCTTAAATAAATGTTAGTGCATGAATGACTAGTGTCGCCTTGCCTATATTTTGAACTGCAGACCTCACTTTATCTTGCAAAAGAAAATCATGATCAACTCCCAAAAACGAAAAGAGGATTAAAGCTAACATCATTAAAGATCAGTCTAGTTAGTTAATAGTAGGTGTTGAGGTAGTGTGTATGAGGTTTTTAAGTTATAACTTTATTATGATTATTGTACACCACTAAAAAAAACTAAAATAAAGGGCACCAAGAAAGCTGAATATTGGTGCTTCGTTCAAGTTCTTGTATAGTAGATCCAAATGGGCATGTAAGTACATATATTATTTTTTTTCCTCTCTATTTTTTCTCTATTAATACAAGACACTTCAATCTTTTTCCTTTCCATCCTAATAATAAATAACCACTATTTTTTTAGCCCAGTAATAATAATAAAAAAAATGTGCAAGTTGAACCCAATGTGCATAATAAAAGAAACAAACAAACAAAAACAATATATACAGAATAGACATGATAAAAGGAAGAATTGCTATTTATTATTAGGACGTTCATAATTCTTTAGTAACCGAATATCACTACTGCGTATTCCAAAGTCAAAGTAGTTAAATCAATCTTTAATTGGCTTTAAATTTTTACTAACTGTAATATTTAGCATTTGGTCCATAAAGCTTGTTCCTCCCCTCTTGGTCCAAATTTCTTCTTTAGATTCCCCTAGAAAAATGGCAAATGCTGATCAACTTTTTTTTTGTCTTAATTTGACTATATTGTTTTTGTTTGACTTTGGAAGCATCCCATTATAACCTTGCACTTGGTAGCACACGTGGGGACACTACACACGAGTACAAAGAAAGTGTTATACTGAGGAGACAAAAACAGGATGCTTCCCACTTCACAACACAAAACTGAAAACATGCGATTCTGGTGAAGTTTCCCCTCCCTTTTTCATGATGTTATATATAACACATTTGAAATTTTGAAGTGAAAATTCAAGAGTGGGGGAAGAAGTCTCTCATGCCTCTTTTTTGATATGCATGTGATTTCAAGTATTTCAAGATTATTCTCTTTCGAAGAATCGTACGTGTCTTCTCAACCAAATTTTCTCCATGCAATCTCTTATATAAGCTTATATGAAGAAACAAAAGGTAACAACCTTGTTATTGTTCCTTTCTTTTTATGTGAAATAAGTTTATCAATGATTGTTACTTTATTATCAACTAATCATTCCACTTTTTGCACTCTTACATATAAGTGTCTTCCTTCTCTTTTTATGAGCATGCTTAGATACAAATATTTTTAGAAGTTTATTTTTATTGAAAAATATTGTTTTCTTTCTTTTTTTCTTTTATAGAAAAATTTTCAAAAATTATTCTAATATGTATCCAAACAAGTTCTATATATCACCTTTTTTTTTTTTTAATGTTTGTGTATGTATTGTAGTTTTTCTGAGCAGACACATGAAATCTAAGAACATAACAATTTTTTATGCTTGCAAACTCCAAAATAAAAGGTAATTTTTTTTAGTTTTCAAATTTAAAAGTGATTATTTTAGGCTCTTAATTGTTAGTGTAGCTAACTTTGTGATTTCTGATAATTTCGAAAGCACAGTGTGCGAGTGTTTTAAACTCCTAAAATTTTGTAGATTTTTTACTTTGCTTTATAGATTTCGGGGTTTCAAAATCACCGCAAAACATATTTTAAAACATTCTTTACTAATCCAAAATTTAATGGGGTTTCAAAATTTCCATAAATAATAATTTTTCACGTCAACATATATATATATATAT